CCCCCCCCCCACCCTACATCCCAGTACAATTGGCGCAACGTTTATCAGGTAGCCGTTTTGAATCCAGTATTTCGAGGAGGAGCGATGGGAAAGGGAGAGAGAGAAAGCGCGGGACTGAAAAAGATTAAAAAAAAAAAAAAAAGCGCGGAAGTGGGAGGAAAAACGAAAAAAGCAAGCGCGGGAGTGAGGGAGACGATGACAGACATGATGGAATTGGCGCCGATCGACAGGTTGTGCTTCTGAAAACTGAATTGGGTTCCTTTTTTTTTCTTTCTTTAAATTCATTGCCGTTTCTGTTTTCTCTCCTCTGCAAACGCAGTTTATTTTTGTTTTGTTCTTTTCTCCCTTTTTTCCCCCCCTAGAATTCATTGCTATTTCTTTTTCTCTCTCCTCTGCAAACACTGCGTGATTCGTTGCTTTGGAGAGAGCGAACGTGGGCAACTGATTATCTATCATCTAGCCGGGCGTGGTCGCACTAGCGAAGAGGATTGGATTTAAGGCCTGAATCTGGACCAGCTTGTGGAGAGGTGCAGAGAAAACGTGATTGATCTGAAATCTGTATCTCTGCGGAAAACACATCCAGATTCAGGCGCTTAATCCAATCCTCTTTGCTAGTGGAACCCCGCCAGTCTTCTTATGTCGTCATTACGGTTATGCAACTCGCATTTGTCCTTAAAAAGTTCGTATTCATGTCGATGTGTATATATGCTTTTTTATTTTATTTGTCATAATAATATATTTCTTTTTGTTTATTTATTTGTTTATATCATTATATGATTATTACTATTAATAATATATTATGATGATGCCGGCTGATTTATTATGCGACCACTATCTGCCACTTTTTCGTTTTCCTTCTTTGTTTCAGCCTCTCCTTATATCTTCTGGGGCCAGGTCCCACTAGCAAAGAGGCTTGGATTGAACACGTCTGAATCTGGATGTGTTTGTGCAAAAAGTCGCGATTGAGTTCTTTTCTCCATCTATAAATAGCACACGTTAAAATTCAGACACCTAATCTAGTCCTCTTTGCTAGTGGGACCTCGGCCCTGTTCTTTCTTTTCTAGAGCGTGTACCTCTACCCTCAGGACATCGATCTCTTGTCACAGGATTCGAGCTCCTGACCTGTCACATCAAGACTAACGTGTTTTGCCACAATCATTCAAAAGCCTCTGCTGCGCCCGTTCGATGTCAGTGTGGCAGCGATCTGAACGATGTCAAGATAGTGCATCTAGGGTATACCCAGCGCTAGGCCTTGCTTGTCGGAATCTGGTCGTACTTGCTGACAGATACATGCAACAGTGTGGACATGAGTTGAACCTAACGGTCCATGGCTGAGAAGAAAGAACGGCTAACTCTGCACAAGTGGTTAACAGGGACCCCCCCTTTTCAGCCCCAGGTTAACCCCCAACCCCTTCCCCCCCCCCCCAAAGCACTGCAAACACACCTGGGGTTTTAGGTGGCTTTGATCCATTTTTTTTCCTTGTTTTTTTTTTTGCTTTTGGTTTATTTTGCTTTACCACTTCATGGACTGGTGGCAAGTCTGGCTTAAAAGGTGTGGGACGTCTGTTATAATGAACCTGCAAATACCTCCTTTTAAGCCAGACGGCTTTTATAATGACCCTGACAAAAGCTTTTTTAAGCCAAGTCTGGCGGCTTAACAGAGCCCTGAAAAGTTAGTTCTCTGTTTACCGCTTCTCCTATACTCTGGTGCGACATGTCGCATGGGTTGTGGTGCGTCATGTCGCATGGGTTGTGCCACGTGTCATGCTCCCGGCTTGCATGTTGCCGTTCTCTAGAGTGACCAGGCGGTCGTGACACTTGCCCATCTTGCGCACTCACTCCTAACACGTGTCACCTTCTGCCCATCCTGACTCGTCTGATCGTGGCTAGTTTTGTGCGATAGTGTCGTGAGCGCTCATCTTTGGAATTACTTGTGTTAAGTCTCTATCTCGGCCTCCTCCTTCGGGCATACGCCTCGATCTCCGATTAGTCGTACGCTGTTGATCTCGAGTTACTGTATTACTCTGTTGATCACGAGTCACTCCTCTGTTGTTGAATACTACAAGTCTCGATCTCCCCTTAATCCTTCCTCTAAATATAACGACTTTGATAGGAATCATCCGTGACCATTCTCGTCTTATGTTTTCGTTCACTACGTTTGCGCCTTCATTTCAATTGTCTTGTCACTTCAATCATCTTGTAGTTTCTTCTTTTCTTTTCTTTTTTTCTTTTCTTTTTTCCTTTGTCAGTTCCAAGCTCCTTTATACTTGGTTTCTTTCTCAACGCTCACAAAAACATCCACCTTTCTCTTCGATCCTCTCTACCAACATGATTACAGTACACTCGACGTACGGGCTACGAAATCCCAATTTCTCCCAAAACCAGCCACCTTTCTCTCTTTGATTCAGAGCTCCGGCACAGGAAGCAGTCTAGTTAAGTGGACGGAGGGTTTCACAGAGGAATCGAAGACTGACGAAGAGAAGATAGGTTACTTTAACTATAGCAGTTAAGTTGCCATGCTGACGTGGATGCCTCCCAGACAACTGTCGCCTAAACGACACGTCACGCTAAACGACAAACAATGCAGTTCCGAATTGAACACAGGTTCATCCATCCATCCATCGGTCGATCGATCGACATCTGTCAATCAGTCGAACCGATTAGCTATATCATTCATTCACCCATCCATGGTTTGATTGGTCATCACAGAACGAGTGATCCTTGTACTGACCTCCCTCGCTCTGACAGTCGTCAAATGTGGGGAGAGGCCAAAGAAAAGAAAAAGAACTGGCGAGTGTATCTTTCAACGTTTTACCTGAAGATACATTCGCCTCGCTATTCGGCACCCTTGGAGGGTAGAATGCAGCGACCTTGCGCTATTTTACTCCGACCGCAAGATTGGCAGATGCATTGGATGATCGACCGCAAGAATCAATAGGGGCATAATCAGCACACTTGCACTTTCTTGAATGTATCAGACTGCAACTACGACCAGATTCCGAGAAGAAAGGGATAACCGCACTTGCTTTTTCTTGAAAGTATCCGACTGCAACTACGACCAGATTCTGACAAGAAACAGGGCATACTCACACTAGGACCTTTTTTTCTACTGGCTCCGGACGTGACGTGATTGCGGTCAGAGATGCATCCAGGTGTGGCCGAAAATGAAGTCAGATTCATTTAGGAAAAAGTGCAATTGTGATTGTGACCTCACTTTCCCCGCAGGATAGGTGAGCGTAGCATCAGATTTTTTATTTTATTTGATCGATAGAAATTGAACAAATGCTTCGCGGGTTAATTTGAATGGAAAAGGCCAATGGGGCGAAAAGTGGAGGGTGGAGAAGCGAGAGGTGAAACTGTGGTAGTGGGAGGTAGGTGGTGGGATGTGAATTGAGAATGATGAGGGAGGAGAGATGTTGGGTGTTTCGGCAAAGCAGTCTGCCAGGCGTGCGTTTGTTGCCTTCACAGAGAAGCAACATTTCCCCGAGAGGATATGTGCGAGGGCTGATGCCCTTTCTAGGGGTAAATGCGGCCCTCAAAACTCTTTGCGGCAAAGGCGAGGACGGCAGGTTGCACAGCATAGAACAAAAATTGCACAGAATAAGGCTCTCTGAGCGATGCTGATCAGGCATTGTGTAGAGGAACAACAACAACAACAACAACAACAACAACAACAACAACAACAACAACGACGACGACGATGATGACAACAACAGCAACGACGACGACGACGAAGAAGACAACAACACCAACAGCAGCAGCAGCAGCAGCAAGAAGAAGAAGAAGAAGAAGAAGAATTACTCAAGGAGGAGAGAGGAGGGGGAAAGATGACATCGGAGATGACGTCAACAAAAAAACTGGAGATTGGGAGGGAGGGAAGGAGGAATATAGATGAAGAAGGATGATCTTGTTTTTCGACAAAACACATACAGGCATGGGCAGATCTAAGGAGGAATATAGATGAAGAAGGATGATGTTGTCTTTCGACAAAACACATACAGACATGGGCAGATCTAGGTGCAAAGGGAAGTTGGAGAAGAGGAAGAAGAAGAAGAAGAACTACTCAAGGAGGAGAGAGGAGGGGGAAATATGACTTCGGAGATGACGTCAACAATAAAACTGGAGATTGGGAGGGAGGGAAGGAGGAATGTAGATGAAGAAGGATGATCTCGTCTTTCGACAAAACACATACAGACATGGGCAAATCTAGGTGCAAAGGGAAGTTGGCGTCTAAGAATGGAGAAAAAAATGCCTATAGATTAGCACTACGCACTTGACAATTCCTGAGCTGAGTAGCAGTGCGTGCGTTTACTTGACTCTCCGCTGAACCTCTGTCCAAGAGTCTCTAACAAGTTGTGCAGCAGACATGAAAACAATACTCTCCAATATTTGCCCCAGGGCCAAAGTAAAACCGAGCCACTCGTCTCTTCTCCGCCCCCACTCCCCCCCCTTCCTCCTTTTCCATCTCCCTTTATGTCTCTCTCTGTCCCTATTCTGTTCCTTCCCCCAGGCAGCAACGTGAATAAAAGTGGAGTGTTAAAGAGTTGCAAGTGAGGGGAATGGTAGTGAGGCTACCCTCCCCCCCCCCTTCCCTTTCTTAATCTTTTGACACAACTGGGTAGCACAGACAGCCGTGGCTATGGGCGCCACGAGGATGAAGAAGACCCTGTTGCTGGTATTCCACGCTCCGTCAGCGGCATGCAGCTTTGCTTGTGCTAGAGCAAACCTGAATGACGGCCTCCTCTGAAGTCTCTGTTATGTGATTTTTTTTTTATTTATTTTTTTTTTGCGCTGGCAGAGTGCTGCGGTTATGCCTATGCACTGTAGATCCAGCAAAAAAATTGGGATTTGCAAACCATAATTAAACGATAGAAATGCATGTGCTGCTCTCCTTATGATCGACTTTCTGTTTATCAGATTATCTCCATTCTGTGGTTCGTTGTCTTTTCGTTTTGGTACCCTACTTAAAGATGGGAATGTACCGGCTATACCCAGTCCCAGCGCCAACTTGCGTCTATACCCAGAAAACGGCGGGTGGAAATTGTTCTCATGCCCAGGACCCGAGGTGGACCCAGGTTGGTAGGGCAAAAAAAAAAATTGCGGCTATAACCGACTATCGGAATGCACAAATCATGGACACAAGCAGGCAAAATTACGGGTATACCCGAGATCAAAGGAGGACAGGCCAAATTGTTCATATACCCTGCTACCGGATGGCTCAAATTAGGCTCATACCCAACAGCCGTTGGGCCACAACGGTCTACTTGGTGGGCATGAGCATAATTTCATGCTCCGAATCCAGGATGTGATTGCGGGATTGGGTACACCTACAATTTTGCACAGGGGAAAAGCTGGGTACTATGCGTATGCATTTGTTGAATGTGCTCTGGGTATAGATGCGGGTATAAATGCAAGTTTGCGCTGGGACTGGGTATAGCGGGTATTGCCATCTTTAAGTGGGGTACAGATGCAATTCTCCCTTCTTTTTTCTTTTTCTTTTTTTCTTAATGCGTGTCATCCTTGTGCAGGGGGGCCATGCTAATCTTCTCTGTATCGTTCCAATTTTAACAGATGTCCCCGTTGTCTCGCCCTCCCACTTTCCCCCTTCTCGTCCTCCTCTTTATGAGAGAAGGTTGAGGCACTGACTCACGTCAAGAGGATATGTTCTGTTTTTTTTTTTTCGTGTCCCTGCAGCTTGTGCTGCCCAGTTGACATTGTCAAAGAAGGGAGGAGAAGAGGAGGAAAAGGGCTGAATAGAGGAGAGCCCTTGAGCTCTCCGCAGTATTTGCACTTTGGAATACAGTACAATGCGATTTGGCCATTCCAGCCAATCTGCTATAGGAAGGAATTGCAAGCATCTAAGACAGCATGTTGTTTGGGAAAAGGCACCCATTTGGAAGTCCCTGGTGCCAAAGTCACTGGTCCCAAAGCCAGTGTGCGAAAGGGCAAGATCGAGATTGGGAGAAGAGCCCGTGCTGCATCGACTGTGTGTTGTCCGCAAAGTACTCACAGCGAGGGCGGCGAAGGGGGCTAGAGTGTCTGTGCCGGATGGCGCAATCTCTAGCACTGTAGGGGAGAGCATCAGCGACAGCAGATATGTCCGCCCATTCGCAAGAACTGCGACATGTTTGCTGACCCACAGCGGCAGATGCGCTACCTCTGTCGGTAAGGAGGAAAACGTGGAGATCTGTGTCGGACTGACAAGGAATGATACTGGCGTCAGACCGGCGAGCAAGGAGATTGGTCTCCGGCAGGCAAGCAAGGACCTTGGGGGTGGAATGGCTATGGCTACTTCTGCCATATCCCGGGGGATTAATTTGCTGTGCCCGTCCACGGCGAGTGCTTCTCGTCATGTTGATGCAGTTGCTATGCGGAACAGATGGCCGGACGGCGCTCAAATTCAGCTTCACTCTTCTCCCCTGTCCTTCGCCAACTCGTCACGCCCTCTTCACTACCGTCCTACCTCGTCGGCGTTGAGCTGGAGCTTGCCTGCAGCCACTCTTGAAAGGGAAATGGACTCTTATTGCCTGCATGGTCTGCCTGAAGGTTTGCCAAGAAAACGTTGCGGCGGCCCCATATGCGGTGCGGCAGGKTCAGCATCGTCCTCCTCCTCCTTTTACACAGATGCTGCCGGAGGTGCAGTTAGAGAATTAGCGAAAAGGGACGTGGTCCTGCCAAAGAGGGACAGCCTTGGACCTGGTCTGGACCCCGACATGAAACCGGAAGAGCTGGAGGACTCGGAAGGAGGCGGAATCGGTGACATCCCAATGGTTTGGGGTCGGGTGCACTCTATCGAATCGTTCTCAGCGATAGATGGCCCTGGAATCAGATCGGTCATGTTCTTGCAGGTAAAGAACCAACCCCCCTCCGTCAAAAAATGAAGAAAAAGAAGGGAAAAATACATAAACAACCTCGCTCAAAGGTTTGGAAATGCGATAATTACTAATTAGCCTCGTGATATGCCCAAGTGCACATTTTTTTGCACCTGTGCAGAGACCCAAGTGCAGAGCGTTCAGAACGTGGATGTGTAGACTTCGAGGTGCATTCTGGACGGCATGGTTTTGTTCTTTCCCCGAAGACCTAACTGGGCAATTTCAGTTGGTCAAGCTCAACCTCCACCCCCCCCCGCCCCCTCCCTTCCCCTTCATCCCCCTTGGAAAGAGAAAAAGGGAAAAAGGGACCACCTTACCTTTATTACCATTGTTTCTTCTCTCTGCATTTCTCTTCTTGTTTTTTGCTTACCATTGTATCGTTGTGCGCCTTGCTCTGCATTTCTCATCTTGTTTGCCTCTTCTGACTGTTTTTGCCGCGATGTGTGTGCTGCCGCCTGTTGCTCCATGGCATGGATCTCTGAAGTCCTCTGGTTGTCCTCGCTGGCCAACTGGTCATGGACTCTATGGGATAGGGATGGGCCATGTCCAGGCGGCCGGATGGGATTGAGATCCAATGGTCACAGCAGTGATGCATGTTGGTGGAGGAAGTACATTTGCAGAATCCGCAAGTTACACAGTTCATTCACTTCTTGTCATGTGACGAACGAAAGATGCAAAAAAGTCACGTGGAATCCTTCCACTGAATTCAGGCTCAGTCTTCAGCTGAGGATCGACCACAGGAACAACAGCAGCAAACTAGAAGAAACTGAGGATCTAGCGCGGGAACGAACCCATAACAAGATTCATCACTCTCGTGATCTGTGAAGACATACACAGTGAAGTTCAGCCTTGAGGTGTTCAGTGGGACGCCAGACCCGTTTTCCAGCAGGTGCTGCTCCCCACCAATAGATTGGAGCAACCAGCTGACCCGCTAGGAGTGGGTGCTCATATCACCCCTCCTAGCATGGCAGTGTGGTTTTCAACGAAAAAAGAAAAAAAGAAAAAAAAAGCATTTCAAATCCTAAGTGATTATCAGCCAATCACAAGAAGGAGAGTGCGAGCTCCTATTGATGCCACAAGTATAGCAACAGTAAAAAGTACTAAAACCTAGCCTCTGCTGAGAATTGTACATCACGCATGCACACTCAACCACATAGACGTGAGGGACCTTGCACTCCTATTCCCTCTTACTAATTTATTTCAGCCGCATGTGACGCCTGCAGTGACAGCCTCAAACATGATTGGTAAAAATATGTGCAATGCACTGTTGCTATGGGCTGCCTGCCATGCAATTTGTGCAGCATGCCGCTGTGATTTGAACAGCACACTATGGCAGGAAAAGATGGGCGAAAAGGATCGAGCAGAACGAAAAATGGCCCATGGCCGTGTGTGTGTGTGTGCGTGTGTGTGTGTGTGTGTGTGTGTGTGTGTGTGTGTGTGTGTGTGNGAGAGAGAGAGAGAGAGAGAGAGAGAGAGAGAGAGCTTGCCAAGAGGTGGAGAAGGGTACAGGAGGGTAAAGGGAGGATTGCAAGGGTGTCTGATGCTATCTGATGTATGTTCTATTTGCTATCCTCTTCCTGATGTAATGTATAAACAGACTAAAAGTGGCACTAAGTGGGTTGTCCATTTGTATCCGTCTTTATCTGATGCAGGGATGTTGGCGGCGCTGTTTGTTTTGTTCAAATCCTGATACATGGAGGTGTGTGCCTGCTGCACTCCCTTGGATCCCTACTTGTTCCAAAGTTGCTTTGTAAGAATTTGCATATTGTGGTGCAACCTTTCTTTGGTCTCTATGCAGCTGTATGTTTATCGTGAGATTTGATCACCATAGATTTTATGGTTGTGGTCCTTGTGGACAAAGAGACAGAACAAAAACTGCAATGCCAGAAGAAGCTACTGCAGTAAAGGAGACACAATGAGACTATCAAATAGACTGATGGATGTACAACAGTACAAGGTATTGGTCTGGCGGTGAGTACATCGTGGAATATGTTGAATTGTGAATGCAATCCACCACACTTCTGTCTGTTACCACTTAGGAAAAACAATAGGTTTTCAACTTTTCGTATTTATGCCAAGCTGGCAAGCTGATACTTCTTGCCGCAGGCATTGTACTCCTGTCTTCCCCTGAACCCAATGAACTTCTTGCCGTAGGCAGTGTACTCTCTAACCTTTTTTTAATTCCTTTGGGTGTCAGTTGACAGTGCAAAACGGTGCTCTTTGTTGAGGGTTTTTCTGTCTGTTTAGAACTGTGGCATTGGGACTTCCCTCAATGCACGTAGCCAGAATTATAGCAAGATTCAGTTGACGTTCCAGGCTGGCGTGTTTCGCCGTTGGCTCTTATAGCATGTCTGCAACTCTGTTCGTTCCTGGCTGATTTTGAGTATTGTTCAATTTTGGGTGCATGCTTTGAGAATCTGCACACAGAGTGGGAATTTTTGGACAAATCTGACCTTTGGAGTGTGCCGTTAGGTTTTTAGGTGTGCAACATTCACCTGCCAAGAATGCCTTTTCCTTCGGTACCATCCAGCCGCCGAACATGTAGTGTTCAGCCACCAACCATGTTGCCATGCTGTCAGGTTTTTAGATGTGCTGTTGAGCCACCAGCCATGCACCCATTCATTTCCCTCCTCCCCTCAGCCTTTATGCCTCTCTCTCTCTCTCTCTCTCTCTCTCTCTCTCTCTCTCTCTCTCTCACCCCTATACCCCGATGCCCAATCTC